TCTGCCTCTTTTTAGCTACTGCCCCCTTTCATTTTTTTTCATATTCACCCATGCTGCTGATAGCTAGGTACATGGCAGAGAACAAGAACTCCATTCTTCATTTGTACGTGGGGCAACCTAAGAAAAAATACAGCCAAAAAGAAAGCTATTAGCAAGAAAAAGATAATTTTCACTCTGGCAAGAAATGATCCCCAAAGTCACCTTTGGCCAAAAACAATTGTCTTTAAAGATACAGAAAAACAGCAAGCAGATTTCAGTCACAGCAACTCACTAATCTTGTCTTTTGATGTCTATCATGACAAAGAACAACTTTAAATAATATTATCTGTTTACAGAACTTAGAATACTGATAGCAGCATCAACACATCCACATCACACATCCTGGACAGGCAAAATATTTTAAGTATTGACACCAAATACAGTTTGTATACAAAATGATATAATGAATACTCGATTCTCCTAAGAAAATGCAAAAATGTTACATCATTACTTGCATCCGGAGTGGTCCAGGAAAACAGTCACGACATTCAAAGCCATGCAACAGGATACTTGTTTCTCATAGTGTGTATATTTAAACTGGCATGACTTCTAAGATACAGGAAAAAATCTGAGTAAGATGCTATGAAGTCCTGCAAAATGTTGCCTATATAAAACTAACTTAAATTTAATTATCAGGTATTCAAGAGCCCTTTCTCCCGTTAACTCAACACACAGTTTCTGAGTGTAAGACAATTTGGAATGCAAACGTGGGTCTCTAGGGACTTAAATTCTTAATGTCTTGTTCCTGCATAAATCCTGCCTGCATAAATCACAGAGGGATGGGACCAACAAGGGATTAATGTGACAGGACACCTCGCCTTCCAGCATCAGGACCCAGTCCTGAGTTGGCTAATGACAGGCTTTCATTGAATGCAGAAGAGGAGCAGGTACAGGGCCAAAACAAGGAGCATGCTCAGTGGGGAGCTAACAAGAGATGTGCAGGGGAAGCACTATGAACATGCATGTGTGTGAACTCCCACCTTCTCTGGTGCTTGGCACCTTTGTCCGCTTGAGAATCAGAATCTGGAGACCTTTCCTGCTGGTGAGCGCCAAAACGTGTTCTTTAAAATAACGGATAAAAAGCCCGTGTAGCTTCTCTGGTCTATGACTTCATTTTATATGGATGCTTGCCACAGCATTTTTCTTTGTGTTATTACTGGAAAATACAAAGGTCTATGCTAATACACAGCCTGCCAAAGGTGTTTAAAAGGACTATTTGGCTGTCAGCAAATAAAAGATTCCCAATAAGCAGTGTTAATTTTCTTTTAAAGTGTAGGAGGAAATAGTGTCCATCTCCCCTATGCAGTTACCCAGAGGTTTAGAGCATCGGCCAGGAAGTGGGAGTTTAATGGCTTTCCTGGGGAGCATTCATACCACATCCCTGACCACCATGCTAGACTGGGAGGAGGAAGAGAAGGAAGGAAATAGGGTGTCACCACCTTTTCGTTTGAAGTTACGACCCTATCCAGACAAGCTTGTCAGGGTCTAGGACAGGGAGAAGGCAGCTGACGTGAAAGACAAAGTAAAAAAGGATGTGTCTCCATCATCTAGTTTACCCACTGGAAGAGAATCCTGGGTCCTATTTATGCATTTTTACACCAAATAGTCCCTGGATAAAAAAAAAAACAACACTGACTTTGGAGTAGCTACCAGAAACCAGGAGTTCTCTCTCCTGGGGAAGTGACTATGGCTACAAAGTCATACTTCCACTTCATGTCTCTTT